TTCATAGTATACGTTCAGTGCCACTTGATCTGCTATTCGCGCCGTACTTTGCGTAACAAATGTCAATGTAACGACAATGTACGCGACGTTTAATATATATATATATATATATATATTGATATACGGAATCGTTGTCGGTGAATCTACACGATCTTCAAGATCGATTAGAATCGTCCCACAACGATCGCCGATAAAATATTTGCGACGAACGAAACGTTGAAACGTTGTTCGCGATAAACAATCAAGTGCGCCAAGTGATTGATACACTTCTCTCGCTAAATAATATATATATATATATACATATATATATATATATGTATATATATATATATAACCGACCTTTATTATATCTATTACTTCGTGAGACCGTGTTTATTCATTTTCATCGTTTTAGGCGTAAGGTCTTGCATTTGTACCGTGTCACGTTCTCTTCGTGCGCGAGAACTCGAGCGGACGCGAACCGGCGTACGTGTTACACATTTTTGCGCGCATATATATATGTATATTTCTGTTGCGGAAAATTGGCAAGAGCGACAAAGTCGCTCGAATTCGCGCGCACCGCGATTAGCCTGTACAAAATTATATATAGATATCAACTCAATTACATGTAAATACATACGAACAAGTATATGTAATTATAGGTACATTTTTCTCGAGTACTCGAACGATTGGAATACGGAGTACGGTCGACGATCGACGATTATTTGCATGCGTTTCGAGAGAAATTCTAAAATCTATTTATTTTAATAGAGAATATTCGATCGATTAGTCATATATACTACGTCCCCCGACGGAAAGGTCGAGATATGAAATGTAAAAATAAATTGTAAGAAACGTAAGATATATAAGAAAAATAAATCAGAGAAATAAAAGATACAAGAGAAAATAAAAATAAAATCTAAATTTAAATAAAATTAAGTACAGTGTAGAGGGTAGTATTATATGACAATCGCTAAATTAATTAAAAAAAAAGAAACTGAACTTGATGTTTTTATAAGAGCGCTGATAATTCTCCATAGAATCGTTCATTATGTTAGTGTGTGTAATAGAAATTTTTAATCAATTATATATATTCACTGGTGATTTCTTATATTATAAGATCACATCATTATTATCAATCTCATTAGATAAAATTAAACAATTGATATTACAATATCGCCAGTGAAAGAGAGAACATTTATAAAATCCTAATTGTACGAAATAACATTTTTTATTTTTTTTATTTGCACTAAAACAGCCATTAATTTTATAAAGTTGTCAGAGATTTATAGAATCACCGAAATTAAGTTCTAGTTTCACCGTAACATTTATTAATACGCGATAAAATTCATTCGTATTAAAAAAAAGTTACTTAATCTTTTTTATATTTCTCTGAAATAGCCCTAAAACTCAAATATTTTTTGACTGCTTTAAAAGAAATGAACGCTTGAATTCGTCAGTTAGATTGTTTGTTAAAATTCTTTACCTTTGTCGCGTATTGCTAATGTACATAAAATACATTTGCATTCTTGTTTGATTTGAATTTTCAATTTTTATTTGTGTCGTATGTCGATCATCATCCGTACAACGCAATCGCAATTCAAGTTCAAGCGCATCGTATTAGTACGTTACAACTAGTCGACACAAATATATAATATATGTATGTATACATAGTTTTTGCACGTTAAGAATAAGAGGACAACAACGATAATAATTACGATGGGACAAGCGATAACTCTATGCATTTAATATAAGTATAACGACGCGTGGTTCTTTGCCTCGTCGATATCCCAATTTTCATCACGATATAACTACTGCTTAGAAAGAAACAAAATAAAAAAAAAACAACAGACTTGCGTAAGCAGGACTGGACAGGAACATAAGTTACAAATAGCATTAGGAACTAACCATCTTTAATTGTAGGAACCTTCAGAAATCGGTATATCTCAAGGTACTCTAGTATCGATATCGCGCAAGTATACATTCGTGTAGAAATCGGATAATCTATGATTCAATTGCCATAGAATTCAATTCGATTGTACACGCGATGGACGTCAAATCAAAACTGAAATGTCTATTATTCGATTTGACCTCTTGATCGACAATTATATCTCACGAACCGACTTAATCATAATGTTAGGGACTCCTAGTCGGAGTCTAAGCCCAAAATGTGCCAGATATCTTACATCTGTCTAAGTACTAAAGTATACAAAACGTATATATTGTATGTTGAACGATAATAAAAATATCGCCGAATTATACCAGACAAATAATGACGCAAAGTAAATTAAATCATATCCTCGTGATAACTTTCAATATAGCTTTCTAATCCATATTCCAGTCGTTCGAGTACCCGACAAAAATGTACCTATGATTACGTATATATACTTGTTCGTACATATTGATAATATGTAATTAAATTAATGTCTGTATATAATTTCGTGCGGTTAATCGCGGTGAACAAAAATGCAAGCATGTCTATTCGAGTTTAATCTGATCAATTACAAGTTATAATTATCGATCAAGAGGTGAAATCGAATAACGTGTTTTCCTAATTTTGTTCGACGTTGATCGCGTTCTATATGTTATATGCAGGAATTGAAGGAATTATATGGCAATTCCAGAATATATGCAGACCTGAGAGTAAAACCAGAAAGAAAACCTTCTACGAAATATATCATTATCTCAGTATAATTTTGCGGTATGAATTTCAGCACTTTACATATACTTTATATGTCGAATAGTACCTTGCAATAGTACCTTGGAATGTATTAATTTTTAAAGATTCCTCAAATTTAAGATTATTAATTCCGAATACTATTTTTCATTTACGTTTCTGTCGGTCCTGCTTATGCAGGCCTGCTATTTTTTTTCTCTTGTTTCTTTTCGGTTTAAAATCTTATCGAAACGACGTTACGTTCAATCTCTATAATAATTACTAACCATCGAATCTCATGGATACTTTCAAATTTCGCGAATGTGACTCGTATACTGCAAATTAATAATTTAATTGTTATCCCTCTGTATCCGCGTTGCGCGATGATACCATTGAGATACATTTTCGTCACCGAAAGGCTTGAAAGAAAGGCAGATCTTGCTTCGAATTCCCTATATAGTTTATATTGTACATAAGGAGAATTATTCTCTCCCTTCCTCCGAATAGAAGATCGGACTGAATTCACAAGTGTAAGCGTCTCGCGCGCCTTTATCTCTTTTTTTCTCTTCTTCTTTCTGGTGGGTGACAGATGAACACGAATGTACGATTAGATGTCGTGACAGAGAACGCTAACGAATTTACTTGTGGCCAGTTTGCAACAATCGCCAGAGCGAAAACCGGTCTCATCCTCGACGGTCAAGCGACGGAACGAAGAGATGACAGGACACCGGCGCGGCGCGGCGTTAAGAGAGTCGCGATTAACGGAAGAGTTTCTTTTGTCGAGGATGGATTCGAAATCTTATTTCGTCGCAGTCTATTCGCGAGAGACAATTATTCGTTTCTCGTAACGTTGAAAGAATTTCGAGTGTCTCGCTAAAGACCTGGAGAGATTGACATCGTTGTAATTTCGTTGAGCTCGAATACGGATGCAAGAGCGTTTGAAAGTATTCTCCTACGTTCATTCGAGATGATGGAAAAACGATACTTGACAATAAAATGTATGTATTTTTTTTCTCGCATCATCGAGAATTGAACGAATTCAAGAGAGAGTACTCAATTTTCGTTACTTTATATTAATTATAATTCAATTTTCATTGAGAATTATATTGAGCTATATTTTCTTGCGAACTGATCACACTTTTTGTCACAATATTTAAACGTCCATTTTGTTACTAGCCGAAAGGAGAAAAAGAAGAGATAAAGACGCGCGAAACACTTGTAAATTGAGCGCTTTATGATCTTTTATTTTGGAAGGATTTGGGAGATGTTTCTATGTACAATAAACTCGAGAAGTTGAAAATATCCCGACGGTATCGCACATTGCATTAAACAAAGATAAAGATTAAATTATTGACTTGTAGCATTCAAGTCACATTCGTGAAATCTAAGAATATTCATCAGTGAGATTCGATAGTTATTTAGCAATTGTTGTGAATCCATTAATAACACCGTTTCGACGAAATTCCAAACTATTAAAATCCCATAATTAATATACTGAGATATAACGAATATATTTTGTAGAAAGTTTCAGCGTTTATAGATCGAACAAACTTATATATTTTATTAAGATTTCTTTTAAAAAAACAAAGAAGCAACGTAATCAAAATCAATCACAATTTTTGTCTTCTTGAATCTTTTTAAGTATTATAAATTATAAATTATTTTTATTTATCTTTTATGTATTATAAATTTCGTGCATCATGCAATGAGTTTTTTTTGCATACACAATCATCTTTAACTTCTGCTCTATCTTCGTTACTCTCTTCTATGCAAGTGTAAGGTAACATTTATGTTATATTACCAAAAGTCTGCAAGTTTTCGCATCCAATCGCTTTTTTAAACAAAAATGCATATAAATCTTTCTTAAGTAATTTATATCTTGTATTTTATCGTTTATATGAATTTTAAAATAGGATAACGGTGTTCCACTGATTCGCTCAGATTTGTTTTGTTAGAAACAGCAGTTCCGCAAAAGAAGTTTCAAAAAATATATGCATAGGAGAGTGGAACAAAAATAAGAGCAGATTATAAAAATGACTCCTGAATGGCGCAACATGAACAACTATTAATATTGTTTCTGAGCTCAATACCATTTTAAAATATATGGGAAAATATAATGGGCGGTGTGTATAAAGAAACTCACGGTATGGTGCTTTCCATAAAAATTTATAACGCGTGAAAAAATGTTTAAAAAAACGAATATAATAATTGTTTTGGATTACGTAACTTCTTTGATGTTCCGTAAAAAGAGATCTCAATAAAATGATTAAACTTTAATATAAGAACGCGCATTATAAAGAATATAAGAAAATTAAAAATATAAGGAAGAAAACAATTACACTAATTGTAAATTCTATTATATATATATATATATATATATGTCACGCTATTTTAAACAATTTTTTCTGCTACATAAATTGCTAAATAAACTGCATAAATATATAAAAGTGAAAATACTTTTTTAAAACAAAAATACGAGACAATGCAAGAAGACGCAATAGTTACACTAATACCTGCGGCTGTCGTTCTTTCTCTATAAATCGGTCAAACGAAACAATCAAAAGATAAACGAGGGCAATTTGGGCCTATCCGATATTTCGAGCAATATTCATATATAATACGCAGACCTCCTGTTTTCCTTTCTTCCGCTTTTCTCTTTCGTTGCATACAGCAAGATGCAAAGACATGGTGTGTGGAATATATATATTTTATAACTCGAGATGTTCGTGCTTCTTCGTCGCACTGGGGAAAACTAAACAAAACCAGAAAACGGAATTTTTCTTTCAAAAATGCGTAACGGACCCACATTGAACAGTAAGTAATAGATGGCCTCCAGTCGGCGGTCAAGAACACAAATTTGCGTACCCAGCGCGTCATAAATCAACCTAGCATGTCTTGAGCGGCCAAAGATGTCAGAAATGATGCAACGTTTTTCGGCGTAAGCCAATGTATTTCATCGCGCGAAAAACTGGTTCACGCAAAAGACGCGTACCAGCCGAGAGGAGGCCAACTAGCACAAAAAAAAAACTAGAACTCTTTGAAGAGGATCGTTGACGGGACCGGCTGTTCGCGTCCGAAGGATAGCAGGCGGAAATCGGAGAAGCATATCTCGATTGTGCAAACCTCATTCTCTGCGATCAAGACGAAACTGTGAGAAGTAATGGAGGTGGAGATCGGCTTGAATTTTAAATCGACTCGCGGACACTGGACGACATGATCAAGATTTTCTATTTTGCTTATTTTGCTTAGGGGAATATCGTCCTTCGACAAATCTAAGACCTTCATTTTTTCTTCCGACCATTCTGTAATAAAAGAAAAATACGCGCAGATATATAGTTTCGCTATTACGCATCATTGCATTGTCCGAAGCATTTTCGCCGATTTTTAAACAAGTTTTCATCTTTATATATTTATACAATTTATCCGGCAGTCGCAAAAAAAAATGTTGAAAATCATACGAATAACTTTATTTAGCTCAGCAAATTGAAGAATCGTGATCCTCGTCCAAAATTTAACGATGTAATAAGAGGTAGATATGGGAAAGCGATTACGGGATACCTTTCTCTAGCGTTGAAACTCCACTAGGATGATACTTCACTTGATCTGCGTTAGGGGTTGCTTCTTGGTTGCCGCGAGGACAGTCTTGACGCGGCGCGAGTGTGTCTCAGGAACAGGCTGGCTTGATACTTCTCGTCCTCTTGTTCGGGACTGCTGTCTTTGCTGAGGCTATGGCTCAGCGACGAGTCGTTGCTACTGTTGCTGAAGTAGTGTCTACGTGACCTGGACATGGATAGATCCTCGGGTTCAGTTTGCTCGGGTAGAACGATCGACGGTCCAGGTTGAGCGTTCGAGGGCCCGGGTAGATTCAGCATCTGCGCGGCGATGTCGACTATCGGGCTGGGTAACGGGCGACGAGTTGGCCTCCTGAGATTTTCCTGGGTTGCGTGCGAAATATTCTCCGCTTCCTCCTGCTCCTCGCCGTCGATGTCGATATCGTCGTTTTCGTCCGGCTCGTTTTCGAACTCCTGTGCTTCGTCGCCGTTATTTTCGCCGTTGCATCGATGCTGATGCAAATGGTGTCGTCTTCGGAATCGTCCGTGACAAGTGTCGCATTCGTACGGCTTCTCGCCGTTGTGTACCATTATGTGCGCCTTCAACTGGTTCGAGTCGCTGAAACGGTTATTGCAGTGCCTGCAAAGGTACGGGCGCTCGCCCGTATGTACGCGTACATGACGGCGGAGATTCGCGACCTGAACGAATCGCCGCTGGCAGAATTTGCAGCAGTAAGGCTTCTCGCCCGTGTGAAGTCGCATGTGTGTCTTTAGATGGTGGTCCCGAGTAAATCTGCAAAATTCAAGAAACTCCAATCAGTAACGTGCAGAACGTCTTGTCTTCCACACAAATTAATTTTATTTTCAATACAGGGTGCCTCAAAATTATCGGACACTCTGTTAATAGGGAGATTCTGAAGATTATTTGGAGACGATTTTTCTTCAGCAAAAATGTCGAGGGAGGTCATCATTTTTTGCATGTTGTTAATTTTTGCCATCATGTATCTTTGTAACTAAGCCTTAAGTGAAAATTCTACTAAACTAAACTCTATCTGAAATTAATTGAAGAATGTGATTTTGTTAATATTTTATTTCCATAAGGCTTAGTTTGCGAAAAACCCTTTATTTTCAACTACTTATAACTCGAAAATTATTGGTGCCTCGACATTTTTGCGGAGGAAAAATCGTCTCCAAATAACCTGAGAAATTTCCCTGTTAACAGGGTGTCCGATAATTTTGGGACACCCTGCATATTAATTTTTAATTATTAATTAAGAAAAGCAAGATCTGATCGATTGATCGCGATAAACTCACCTTTTACGACAAACCGGACACTGGAAAGGCTTCTCGCCGGTGTGCGTGCGCTCGTGATTCTGCAGCACATGCTTGTAACCAAAACCTCTCTTGCATACGTTGCAAACAAAGTTTTGCTTCTTGCTCTTCTTCTCTGTCTCAGGACTGACGGTCGGAGATCCTGTCTCGGAACCGACGGTTGGAATTGGGGATGGTTCGATGTTGAGTTCGGCTACGCCTTGCAATGTATTTTGCTGATCAACGGTTGATTCGGTGTTCAACGATTGATTAACGGGCGTTATTTTTCTCCTCTTCCTGCCACCCTTTTTGCTGCCCGGCACATTGTTATTATTATTATTATTATGATTATTATCGTCGTCGTCGTCGTTGTTCACGGCGGTGATGCTGATGCGCTGGGACGTGGAATTGCTGGAAGTGCTGAGAGCCGGCGATACAACTGGTGATAAATGAACAGAAGAGGGCGGCGGAGACCCGGGCTGTTGTCTTCGCCAATCCCGCGGATTGCCGAAGAGATTCTGATTGAAGAACGTCGATGCCGCGGCTAAGCTGCTAACGTGCAACGGAGGAAGTCCTGCGTTTATCAGAGCTCGAGTAGTGAGAAATTCCTGGTTCAGCACCGACAAACTTGCTTGCACTGATCTCGTCATCGATTCTGGATATAGCGACACGTTGTTTGTGAACGGTGGTTGCTGCTCGGCGTCCTGCATCCTGCTTAGGTGTTGATTGAACAAGAGGCCTGAACCCAGTAAGAAAAATTACATTTCAGTATTAAACCATGAAGCTGCGCTTAATATTTAAATTATAACAGGATCAGATTTCATTACTCATGTATTTCATGAATTGAAAATATAAACGTATAATTTGATATATTGATATTTTTCGGCGCATGGTTATTAAGAATTGGTCAAATTCGCGGCTACAGATGAGTAAACAAAATGTATTGAAATATTATAATTGAGACATCTTCCTCCTCGCGTTTTCTTTCCCTATTAACCTCCCTCGTGCGCTTCTTCTTCTCTTTCTCCCTTTCTCTTTCCTTTACGATCTCTCTCTCTGTTCCTCTCTCTTCCCTACCACTCCTGACGTGCCCTCCCACACATGTCGCTCGCACGTGAGGTTACTGGATCCTCCTCCATTCACTCACACTCTCGTATACGAGAGTTCATTCATAAGGCTCCACGTACTATCACGTACTCAACTATCCACGTACGCGTGTACCGTATCTTCGACTTGAGGCCAACGACTTTATCAGTAAATACTCACTATTATCGAAATGTTACCTTGAAATCGATCAAAATATTAGTTATTACATAACATCCTATTATTCTTTTTTTATCTTTCTATGATTTAGATCCGACGGAAAGAGAAAGAAAGAGACTTTCTGAAGAAGAGAAAAGAAAAACTTGCAGATTTTGATATACATACTCATATGTGTATATGTATATGTATATGCATATTCAAAAGAAAGTAACAGATTAAAAAAATATTTCACGAAATAATTAAGTGTACAAAAATTTGCAGTCGTAATAATATATTATACAATATATAGGAAAAAAAGTCTCTAATATTAGCAGCTGTCACATTTACATTTCGTAATAAAAGTGCACGTCAGTTTATGATTGAACAGGCCTAAACGTTGTCATGTGTATCGAAGCATAGTCTGCTGAGAATTTTTTTTTATTTTTAAACTACCTACGCAATGTAATTTTAAAGCTTACTCTTGGAATCTGTTTTACACAGGATACTTTAATAATTAATATTTAAAGATCCGATATTGCAATCTCTTTAAATCCAATTTAAAGATATTCAACGATTATATACGCGATTAAAACGCACTTTAATAAACGTTCGAGAGACTGTCAAAGTGAAATATTCAGAAAAGTTCTTAACGAGATCGAGTTAAGCAAAGAAACGACACCCGAAAATCCATATTTGATCCGCCGCTGGCTAATTAATGAATTTAGAGAATCAACGTCGTTTAATCAATAAAGATGCGTACGATCTCCTTCTTATGTGCTCCTCTCTTCTCTTTTCTACCCCAAAATTCCCTTAACGGCGACCAAGATCCTTACAGCCTACGACCGCCGTTTCTTGGCAACGCGACGAGAAGAGTACCGCCTCCGCTCGCGTCTACCCCCTAATTGGTCGCAACCCTTGTAGTTCTACCTCGAGTTCTTTCTCTTGAAAGCGCTATTAGAAGTTAGATCGTTGTAAATTAATTTGTATCTCTGTGTTCTCTTCTATCCGACTTTATTCTCGACTGATTAAAAGTAATCTCTAGACATACATGCGCTTGCATGACTTACATTGGAGAAGTTAATTCCCTTATAATAAAAAAATATATGTACACACCTATGCATATATATATATATATATATATATATATATATATAGATACGTAATAGATAAAGTATGTACACATATGTAATAGATAAAATATGTACACACACACACACAAAGAGTAAAAAAAACTATATAAGGTACATATTGATAGTTCAAAGTCCCGTTAGAAACATAAAATAATTCTTCACGGTTTATTCAACAATCTTTGTTTATGAAGGTAATGTTAAAGTTAAAGCTTCGATCGGTGGCCAAAAAGAAAAGCCTTGAATGCTTAGAATAATGGACAACTATCTTTTCTTTAAACCTCAAATGCTTTACTGCAAGCGGTTATTTTTATTAGGGTCTTACTGACTGTATGGTTTACTTATTCTTTCAAACACATAAGTTACAAGTACCTTTCCGAAATCAAGATATTTAGAGATTTGCGAGGTAGCTTTTCGATTTATAGTCTTAAGAACATTATAATACCCCTTATTAAATATTAATGTAATGTCCGCAAACATTAATGTAACTTCCGTAATATAATATTCATAAATATTAATGTAATATCCAGGTTCGCCAAGGATATTTTGAAGTGTGATATAATGGATCGAAAAGGTCGCTCGCGTGGTTTGACAAGAAAACGCGGCTGTAGACTTACGAGACAGTCGTTAAAAGTAATAGCGAGCATTCCGAAAGCAAGATCGCGAGAAATCACGGCGAGTTTTATTTTTCTGACATTATACTTTCTTGACATTCTTCGTCAAGTAATTTCGCTAGTCTCTCTGAGGCTTATCGATGTTTACAATGTGTTACAACGTACGTGCGTCGAGTCGTCGTGGGCGCTTTTAGATTCTGGCGATGCGCCAAAAGTCGCGCGCTTGGCTCTTAAGAAACTATGAAATTGCTCCCTTCTCGCCTTGTGATTTCCTCTACCCTCCCCATTCTCTATCTTTATGTATGTTAGTATAAAGCGCGAATACATTTACATTTTCTTCGCATTTATTACAAGTTAATGTCCATAAGATTGCAGGATGAGAATAAAAAAACTTGAGATTAGTGTGAATTCTGGTATCTTATGCGACGGATCATTCCAGGAATTAAATTTTTAAATGACTTTTGAAACGATAAAAATTAATAGATCTAGAGTTTGTGGAAGCAAAACAAAACTGTTGATGATTAAGCACAGAAAGACTGACGCTCTTGTAAAAAAAAATATTATGTTAAATATGTAACAAATAAATGCGGCATTAAATTAGAGACGCAAGAACACGTAATATAATTAATGCATCTTCGAAGCTAAGATCATCCCCCTTTCTCTGTCATCATTCGTGCCCATATGCACGAAATATCAATAATAAAAGTACCTGCGTAATCTGCGTAAATCTGTGTCCCCTTCAAATAGGACAATGCCATGCTACAATCCATGCGACGAGTTTTCTTCACTTTGACACTCCATCCACTCTTATCGAGCACAATGTGATCACTTACGACGACGACATACGAAGAATAAAGCGCAAAATACACGCGACGTTACATTAATAGCGCGAATCAAAAGTATCGATATCAATTTGCAATTTTTTTCGCCCCTTTTTTTCAACCTCTCTTCTGAATAAGAAGAATGTTCCTCTTTCTCTAATAATTTACATGGCAAACTTACTCCAGTAACTGCATACGCGCAATGTACGGTAAGGCCGACAACAGCCTTAATATATCACGGCGAAAATATCCCGTAAATCTGTCTATTATTCGATCACTATATACTAGCGTATAAACAAGTGGAGCCGGGCTCCGATCACGAGATCGACCGACAACGTCGGTCGACGATGTCTACTCTTGGGCTGACCTAACCCAACACTAAAGTGACAACCGACGTGCGCGACTCACTGGTATAGTCAAATATTCCCCCTCCCTTGCACTCCCGGTCAACCCCCACTTCTCTCTTTTCTCCCCCCACTACGCATCGCGGCGCGCTACCCTCTCGAATCGCAACCCCGGATGCGCGAGTCGCCGAAACGTTCTTCGCTGGGGCGCGGGTTCGCGCGCGTACAGAAGATGGAGTATATATACAGGGAAAGCAAGAAAGGGAGAATCGGGGGTAGGGACAGGGTGGGACAAGAAAGAAATGACAGTGGGCAGAGAGAGGAAAGAAAAGCGACTAGAGGGTGAAAGAGATGTTGTTGCGTAAAGAAAGAGCAAGCGCAAGAGTGAAGGGAGGTTCAAGAGAGAGAGAGCCAGAGTGAACCTGTGACCATGATCTTTAAGATAGGGGTTGGTGCGTGCGGAGGGAGAAAGAGAGGACAGAAACAGTCGAGGGGGAGAAAAGAGGACATATGCAAAGAGGGTGGAAAAAATCAGCAACTTCTCAAGGTCCAAAAATGAGTGATCAATCGCACGTTTTTCTTAAAACTGTATGAAAAAAATGCAAAATAGAGAAACTGGTGAGATTTTCTGCATTTATGATTATCCTTCATTAATATTTCAATGTTCACTTTGATCGCATTATGCTCGTGTTCCCTCGAGTAGTTTCTCATTTTACGATACAAATGTATTCGCGAGAGCATGTACATTTGTTGTTCTATGTTTGCTAAACTAGCGTTTGTGCAATATCGACAGTTCTGTGTATGTGACGGCGAGCTTTTTGCAAAAGTTCGTTGCAGCTGTCAATATTTTAAAAGCGGTCGATATAAATTGTACACGGCGATACATCGCGTCTGGAAAGTCTTTGGGATTGCGCGCAAGCATCATATATAACATCGCGTATAAGGTGCATTGATCGATGAAAAAAGGATGCAAAAATAGACAGAATCACTAGCGAACTACCTCCAACAAATGATTAATCGAATAAGGAATATAAATCAATTATAAATCAGTCGCTGCTTCTTTCGACTCGCATATTTTTCAGCACAAATCCTGATTAGATCCCTTAAAGTTATTAAAGGTTTGATACTTGTCTAGCTTGTTTTTTTTAATATGTGTCTTATTGGAGAATAAATAAACATTCAAGTTCCAGTTTTTGAATAATTTGTACTTTTTGCACATAACGTTAACTATATTTCCAACAAATAATTAACAGAATAAGCAATATAAATCAATCGTAAATCAATCGCTGTTTCTTGTGGCTCAAATTTTTTAGCATAAATCTTGATTAAGTCTCTTATTAAAAGTTTGATAAGATGCAGTTTTTTATAATTTTTTTTAAGAACTGGATTTTAAAGTCTGCCTTAAATTTTTTTATATATCTTATTGTAGAATAAATAAACGTTTAAGTTTTTTTATAATGTCAACGTAATCTTTGTTCATTAAAGTTTCGCCCCCATTTCATGAATTGCTTATCTCAAGAATGAAAAAAAATAATACAGATCCAATTATGCTTTCTAATAAAAGACAAGAAGTGAATAAATGCGAAGAAAA